GGCGGCGGCGGCGAAGGCGGCGGCGAGGGCGGCGGGGGGAAGATGGCGGCGCCCGTGCTGCTGAGAGTGTCGGTGCCGCGGTGGGAGCGGGCGGCCCGGTACGCAGTGTGCGCCGCCGGGATCCTGCTCTCCATCTACGCCTACCACGTGGAGCGCGAGAAGGAGCGGGACCCCGAGCACCGGGCCCTGTGCGACCTGGGGCCCTGGGTGAAGTGCTCCGCCGCCCTGGCCTCCAGGTAGCCGGCGCAGGGATCGGGCCGGGCGGGACCGGAGGCGGTGCGGTGCGCGCGATGGGCGGGGCCCAGGGACGGGCGGTGCTAGGCGGGCGGCGGGGGCGGGCCTGAGGGGGGGGCAGCCGAGCGCAGGCCGCGGGAGGGCGGCGGCGGTGGGGCCGCGAGGCGCGGGAAGGATGAGGTGGCAGAGTGCAGCCGGAGGCCGGCGGACCGGGAGCAGTTGGGCAGCGCCGGCCGGGGGGCCGGGCTGGGGAACAGCGAGTGGCTGAGGAGGGTGGGTCCAGGCCAACCTGACAGGTTCCCGGGTCGGGGCAGGGGACCCAGCCCGGGGAGGCGCGAAGCCACTGTCCACCCCACGTCTGCAGCCGGATGCTGTTGGCCGGCGTGGGGTCTGGCGGGTCGCCTTTCCCACCGCCTTCCCGGTGGTAGGACAGGTGTTTCCGTGGGCAGGCCTCTTTGTACTTTTGGGAGCGCTAATGAGAATTTGCAGACTTCTTGAGACGGTGACATTTGCGGGCAAACGCGAATTTGACCCTACTTTGGAAGAAGATACCGGCACTTAACATATCTGATTTCTTGGATTCCCCCTCGTATATTGCTGTGTGCCCAGGAGGGGGAAATGGCCTGAGTTGGGGGGTAGTTTAAGCTTATTTGAGGGAAAGGAGTATGTCTTGTGTGGGGATGGTGTTTTCGGCAGTAGGATGACTTTTAAGCGTTGTTGATTAGTATAATGGAATACCCCCAAAAGAACTATGACAAATACACGCTTTGCTAAGTTAGGTTGATTTATGTTACTGGTAATTTTAGGTTTTTTAAGCCTTGTGACTGATTTGTTTGTTCATTTTATTTTCTGCGTTCAATTTTCCTCAGCAAGTTACTTTGAAAAAAGAATTTACATTAAAAAGGTGGCTGCTGTTTTTTATTTCAGGAGGAGTTAATAAAAATCATAGGAAAAGTGAAGGCATTAATTTCAAAATTGATAGATTACAGTATTACTAGAGGCATGCATACTATGCTTAATATTTTGAAATTTGTTGAGAAGAATAATCACCTTTGCGCAGTTCGTTCCCTCATGCTTATCTGTGAATTGCTGGGTGGACAGAAATGGATAGCTCACGAGTTTATTTTGACCCACATATTGGTGATTACATGAATAAGATAGCTTGGAGTTTGTGTTGCTCCTGTGGTTTACAAACTTTAAGACTGCCCACCTTTTCCACCCAGGCAGGCTTTTTAATGAACCAGGTAGTCTATCTCATTTGCTCTTAAGCTCAAATCCTGTAGCTTTTTAGTGGAAAAATAGTCATCATTATGGCTGCATTAAACATGTTTTTAAAATGAATTTAAACTATAGATATCAATTTACAGTGAAAAATACATGTTACGACAAGCTCACACTTGCTAATGGGTATTTTGAACCAAGTTCATAGACTTAATAGACTCTCATACCCTTTGAGAACTGCCGAGTGTATTTTATGCCAACATTTTTATCAGTTATTTTCTCTGTTGAAAAGAACTTTTTAACTTAAAAGTACTTTATCACCAAAGTTAGTTGAATAAATAATAATAAAAAGACTATCAGCAGCACATTTCAAGTGTTTAAAAAACAAAGAAGAAATAAAAATTAACTTTTGATATTAGATTAGGCAGAATTATTACCAATTTAAGATTATTGGAAGCATGTAGTCCATAATAAATTTACGTGGACCTTTTAACGTTTGGGTATGGAAAGAGTACTTTGCTTTATGTTATCCAAACTGTGTATTTCCTAAGTTCTTAAAATTGAATTTTCTTTAAAAAGGAGTGTTTTTGAACCTGTAGTAAGTATAAAACAACCAAACCTGTTGCTGTCGAGTCATAGTGACCCTATAGGACAGGGTACAACTGCACCATAGGGTTTCCAAGCAGCGGCTGGTAGACTTGAACTGCCAACCTTTTGGTTAGCAGCCGAGCTCTTAACCACTACGCCACCAGGGCTTGGTAGTACGTATAGATTATAAATATTTTCAAGGTGATGTGTCCTGCAAAAGCCAAGTTCTTGTGCATTTTTTCGAGCTCTTAAACACTACGCCACCAGGGCTTGGTAGTAAGTATAGATTGTGAATATTCTCATGGTTATGTGTCCTGCAGAAGCCAAGTTCTTGTGCATTTTTCCCTGTGTAATAAAGTACCATAAAATAATATTAAGTAACATCAAGTAGTATATTGAAAGTATATATAAATATGTATAAGACTAAAAATAACTGGATCTCTGTATTGTTTTAAATATGAATTAAATATGTTGTGACTGAAACTAATGTTTAATTGTATAGCTATGTACATAAATATTTTAAATTTGATGCTTGCTACAAGGAGGATTAAAAAAAAAGTTACTCTCTATAAGAGGACTGAATAACTTATTTGCCATGTATAAAATATTTTCAAGCAGTTTACCCAGTTTGATCAGCTTGTTTATAAACTACCTGCAAAATCATATATATTTTTTCTAGTGGATATAAGGATATTTGGAAATTAAAGTTTTCTTTTGAAAATGGGTAGAATAAACATCATTAAAAGTTTTTTGTCGGAGTGAAGGGAGATTTTTTGAGACCTCGAGTAGTTCCTTTTGTTTGATTTGAATATTGATTGCTATCTAGCAGTAGTATCCAAAGATATAACTATTTTAGGAAAGGAAGTTTGAACCTAGTTTGTGTTAGTAGAATTGAAGGTAAAAGATGAGGAAAGCTGGCTGGTGAAAAGCATCCTGAGGAAGGGCTTCTCCCAGCATCCAGGGTTAACTCATGTGACTTTGGATGGCTTAAACTCACTTTATTCTCCTTTCTCTATTCTTAAGTGTCTTAACCCGAATAGAATGAGGTAGAGATTAAGAAGAGAATCTTGAGAGTTAGGGGTGTGTGTGAGTGAGTGAGTGTGAGAGAGTGTGTGTGTGTGTCTGTGTGTAATCTTCCAGTATTTTGGGAGGCATCATTGTGTAAGAGAGTAGTTCCCAGACTTTTGATTTCAAAAGTAGTTTAAAAAAAAATTGAGCAGCTGCAATAAAGTTGCCAGTTTTTTAACTGTACCAAGTACAGCCAATAAAAACAACAATAACCCCCAGCACTGTCTACTGTCCCCATCATTTCATTTAAAAAAAAAAAGGACTCTAAAAATTTTGAAAAAACAGAATCTCAGAATGCTTTTAAATTGAATCATTTGGCCATTTAGCTTTATTAAAAAGTTTGCTTTCTTGTCCTTGTTTTTCCTCACTTTCCATAAATTTATGAAAGTACCCCTCCAAACCTGCACTAGCTTGCCAGCCACCATTTAGTAACCCCCATGTGGTAGGTACACTGAGCTCGGGTCTGAAGGATCTGGGTGGAATCCCCCGCTCTGCCACTTGTTAGCCTTGTGGCTTTAAGCTAGTCACTTATTTTCATGGAGCTTCAGTTTCTTATGTTCTTATGTTAAATGAGCATATTAAAATCTACTTTGCCATATGAGTGTTAGAATTAAAGGTGATGCATGTATATACCTGGAATACAGTAATGTACTCAGTTAATTATAGCTGTTATCATTGATTGGAGGTATTATCTTTTTTGCAATATCTGATAATAAACTCCTTAAGTCATGTAAATTTCTTATTTTAGGTAATGTGAATTGCTGAGAGGTATTAGAGGTATAGTGTTTTTGGAAATCCTGGTGGCGTAGTGGTTAAGAGCTATGGCTGCTAACCATAAAGGTCAGCAGTTGGAATCCACCAGGCGCTCCTTGGAAACCCTATGGGGCAGTTCTACTCTGTCCTATAGGGTCTCTATGAGTTGGAATCAACTCGACAGCAATGGGTTTGTCTTTTGTTTTGTTTTTTTATAGTGTATTTCATCACTCACTCCCTGGCATAGTGTCAGTACCAGTTGTTGTCAAGTCGACTCCAACTCATGGCGAGCCCATGTGTGTCAGAGTAGACCTGTGTTCCGTACGATTCTCAGTGACTGATTTTTTCAGAAGTAGATCACCAGCCTTTCTTCCAAAGCGCCTCTAGGTAGACTCCAGCTTTCCAGTTAGCAGCCAAGTGCATTAACTGCTTGCACCATCCAGGGACTTCCATAAAGACTTAAAGTCCATTTAAAACAATTTCATAAGTGTGACAAGAGAAACAAAATAATGTGCAGAATATTCTTTGTGGGTATTTCCTCTGAGTTATACTAGACAAATTTTTATGTAAAAATAGCACAAATGATCTTCTTGAAAAACTAATAGGTTTGATAATTTTACAGTTCTTAAAACTGTAAAACAGTATTTGAAAACCATAGGTCCACAGAAAATTGCTTTCTTTTGCAAAATGTTGGACTAGTACCTTCCATATCTTTTAAAAAAAAAAAAAGTACCATCTAGGCGGTGTAATCCATTTGCACACAACTGTTAGCCTAAAGGGTGGCCGTTGGAACCCACACTTCTAAACCTATAAAGACAATGGCATTTGTCACACCCAATTTGTGAACAGATATGTAGTGTGGGTGAGCTATCAAAAAAAAGACTGCAGGATTAAAAAAAAGAGAGAGAGAGACTTATCAGGATAGCCAGGGGAAGAAAGATAAAGTGGATCCAGGTACCTAGAGGTGGAGGCAAGGGGAAAAAGATAGTTTGAATCTGTACTGGGGTGGGTGGCCGTTTTTGAGGGAGATGTCACAAAGAGTTTATGCTTGGTTGCTAACCGAAGGTTGGTGGTTTAAACTCACCCAGTGGCACTGTGGAAGAAAGGCCTGGTGATCTGCTTTCATAAAGATTACAGCCAAGAAAACCCTATGGAACACTTCTCCTCTGTAACTGTGGTGGATCATCATGAGTCTGAATGACTTGATGGCATCGGGTTTGGTTTTCTGGTTGAGTCACATAGACTTGCTGCACAGAAACAGAAAAGTTGGGCCTGGCCTTTATTTCTTCTGTGATTAGGAAAAACTCTGGGGAATAGCATGAAGAATGGCATGAAGAGATGGAAAACTGGCCATTTGAGGGGAATAGCAAGC